AATTATACACTTTTTTTTTCAGTCCATAAACTTATTTCTCGAATTTCATTAAGATTATTTTCATTCAATTCATTCCGTTCTCACTTCGCGACAAGGAAAAAATACATAAAACCTCAAAATATCTTCATTCAAAAAAATATGGAAAAACATAAAACACCAAATACAGTTAAAATAATTAAAAAACAATTTTTACAATTAAAATTAGAGTTTCTATACAAAAACAAGCAATTCGGGAGCGGGCAAGAAGGCAGACCTTACGGTGCACAAAACTGAAAGTTTGCTTTTGATCCCACTAGCAAAAAAAGACACTGAAGGTGCAGAAATTGACTTAATTCACTGTTAAATATATATCGTGTTACTTATGAAAATTACAGACGCCATGAATAAATGTAAAAACTAACTCATTGAACATAACTAGAGTTTTTCAGGTCAAATGCAATATACACTGAACAAGGTGTAAAGTGTATGCACATATATAGTTACAAATACAGATGTAACGTAGTAAAATCTAACATAGAAAACTATAACAAACTTTGCGTTGTTTTGAAGTAATAATGAAAACCCAGTTTAAGAAGAAATCCAGTGTATAAATAGTAAAAATTAAAACAAATAAAGTTAATCTCAAACATTTATTTCGAGTAAAACTTTAGGGTTGTTACAAAAAGTTACATTGCAGTAATCATCTTCTAAAGTGGCAAGGTATACGAAATATACCCGTTTAAATTATTTATAATTCTTTAAAAGTGAGCCCACCATGTTTTTATTTTATGCTTTAACAAATTTTCAGACATATTTTAAGAAGCAAGGAAAGAAACACATTGCTCGACATTGAAAAATGCAACACCAAGAAGGGGTGGTCAGAAAGTGATGAAATTTGGAAAAAAGACAGAGACAGCAAGCAGCAATAAGTAAGCTTTATTTCAAAATGATAGTCAGAATACAGATCCAGAACAGCGTCGCTCAGTAGGATGTAGGACCACCGTGGACAGCGTTGCACGAAGAAACACGTCTAGGCAGTCAGTAAGAGTGCGGATGGTGTCCTGAGGGATGGCTCTCCATTCCCTTTCAACTATTTGCCATAGTTCGTCTTCTGAACGAGGCAGGGGCAGAGTTTGCAAACGGTCACATTCGATTGGTGGCAGGTCAGGAGAGTACGGTGGCCAGGGAAGCATCTGTATACCTTACAGAGCATGTTGGTAGATGCGAGCACTGTGTGGTCGGGCTTATCCTGCTGAAAAATGCATTAGGCACCCTGAAGGTAGGGGATTGCCACCGCCGCAGTACAATCCAGTCGTTGGGCCGTCCATAGTGCCCTGAATACGAACTAGAGGTGACTGGATCGTAGGCAGCGTCTCAAACCATTATGCCACGTTGTCGCGCGGTGGGGCGTTGCACAGTTACTGCCGGATTAGACCTGTCTCCACGTCGACGCCACACACGTATGCGACGACTGTCACTGGATAAACAGAAGCGTGACTCATCTGAGAACACGAATTTTTGCCATTCTGTCATCCACATCGCTCCAGTCCGACATCATTCTAAACGTTGGCGTCTATGCTGTGGGGTCAATGGCAGTCTTTTTAACGGACACCATGCGTGCAGGCCACGTTCAACAAATCGACGGGAAATGGTTCTGGTCGACATGGGAACATCCAGGGTATCTTGCACATGCTGCAGAATCGCGGTACAAATGACTTGCGGGACCGTCACAGCTTGTAGGCGGATGCGTCTATCCACGCGTGATGCTGACGTCACTCTGGCTGCATCTGCACCCCTCCTTCTTTCCACATTTCCTTGTTCCAACCATGTTCGTTATAGCCGATGCACAGTGCTCGCATCCATGTGGATATCAGGTGCGATTTGACGTAAGGACCAACCCGCCCTTCCGCCTGGTTTGATGAACCTTATGAGAAAAGCGGGCGCAACCCTTCCAACAACAAACGACACGAGCCGGCGAGCCGACTGTGCCAAATAAAAACAAAATCAATTTAGCAGCTTAACAAAAAGAAAAAAAATTAGATTAGTATACTAAAATAATAACACGGCACATAAAAACACAAAAACATTTTAAGCTGTCCCTGCACCTTTGCATATAAAGTCTTTCTCTTTCTCTCCCTTTAAGGGTAGTTTCCATAAATTGAACGCTTTCAGTATGTTAGCTCGATCAATCAGAGATACCGATGACATGTTTATGAGAATTGATGACTTTCATAATGTCTTGTGCAAATTTTACTCCTTTTTTATAATTTTGAATCATTTCTCTTCCATTTCCGATTCCACGTAAGGCTCTTACTCCCCCTTCCCGGTGAGTGTACAACTTTCAATAAAATGAATGCAGTCACCGGCAGTATCACATTTAAGGCATAAATTTACCCCCTGGAGGTGGAATATCTGTAAGTACATAGGAAAGCGTCCTATGTACTTACAGATATTCATGCCCTGTTACTAATTGATTATACTCTTTATCGCAAAATATAGGCATATTCTTCTTAATTATTATATTTGACAAGGCCTCTGATCTTCTAGGAGACACATTCCATTGATCAGACCAGGTTTTATACATGTGATCTTTCATTTTGCTAATTGTAACTTTTTTAGAATGTTGTAGATCACCATCAGAGATTCCATCCCCCAGGGCAGCCTACTTTGCCAGGGAATCCACCCTCTCATTCCCAATGATACCAATATGGGCCTTTACCCAATGAATATTGATTGACATTTTATATTTTAAATTCATATAATCATTTTTCATTTTATTCATGATATCATTTTTATGGTCCGGCCGAGAGAGGGCGACAAGTGCTGAATAGGCATCCGAGTGAACTGTACATTTATAGATCAAATTGAATTTAATCCATTCCAAGGCTTTATAAATGGCATATAGCTCTGATTGATAAACTGAATTATGTATCCATTATCAAATATACATACTGAATTATGTTTATCCAGTATGTATATTTGATAATGGATCTCCAAACCATAAAATTATACGACAAACGCACATCCCACACCTCCCTCGAAACCGGACCCATCTGTATAGATTTCATATTCGCTGGTAGGCAATACATTGCAATCAAATAAAATACCATGTCTCTGTCTTGGATAAATCGAATCTTGTCAATTTGGGCAAATGCGTTGCTCTCGAGCTGGATTCCATCCAGAATAAGAGAGCTTTCTATTGAATATTGTAATAGGAATTTATTGTAGAAAAATTTATAATGAATGGAGAGAGGGGGAAGCCCGGCCAAAATACATGCGACTTCAGATGAAACTGTTCTAAAGCATCTAGTGATAATCAGAAGCCATCCTCTTTGTATTGAATCAAGCTTAGTTCTCAACATGGCTAGCTCCCTGCCCGGCGGCCCCAAGCTCCGATACCGTACATAATGTTAGGTATAATAACATTGTCATACAGATTTTTCAGAATATCACTCTTGACCTGTAAAGTATAAACGTTAAATTGAGTCCTGTAAGAAATTTAAGATCTTGTCGGTTGCTCTATGGATATTCTTAAAATGTTCTATAAAAGTCAGTTTTTCATCCAGTGTGACACCCAGATATTTAATTGTACTGTAAAATTTGATGTTTTTGTCAAGAAATTTAAGTCTTGGATTCCTTACTTTTTTCCCTTCTTTTGGGAAAAAATTCCACAAGTTTTATCCATGTTAAATAAAATATTTTCTTCTTTAGTCCAACTATTTAGAACGCAACCCAATTTCCTGAAATGGGTCTCAATTTTATCCAAAGAAACATCATAGATTAAAAATAATAAGTCGTCTGCGTAACAATAAGTGTAAATATTAGGTATATTTACATCCTTGAGCAAATTATTTACAATAAGACCCCATAACAGGGGAGCGCTACAGGAGCCCTGGGGACAACCTTTATTCATGGCATATTTAATGTTGAATTCTCCAAGTTCTCTCTTGTAGACCAAATACCTGTCTCTGAAGTAATCCTTGACTGTGTCAAACATTTGACTTGAAATATCAAGTTTCTTTAATGTGTACGAAACAGACCATTTTCCTGTGTCGAATGCACCCTGAACATCAAAAGAGACGAGGGCCACATGATAAAGTATTCGTTTACATCTTATTTCTTCAACTACTTTATAAAGCGCAAGATCTGCACTTCTGCCCTTACGAAAGCCATATTGAGAGTCTGAGATATAATTTTTGCTATAAATAATAAATTGAAGTCTATTAGTTATCAGGTTTTCAAGTAACTTACCCCTAATATTCAGTAAACATATCGGTCTAAATTTATCATTTGTTTTTGGTATAAGAATCAGCTCTCCAGTTTTCCATGCTGTAGGAAATGTATTTAGATTTAGACATTTATTGTAAAGAAATAGCAATAAGGAAGGGCAAGATGAATATAATGTCTTAACAATAGTTTAACCCCGATCCCGTCCGGCCCAGGGGCAATTTTTTCACGAAAAGAGGCAATAGCAACAGCAATTTCAGTGTATGTAAAGTCCTGTTCTTCACTAACCAGGGATTCATGTAGAATACTTTCAAACTCAGTGTCACTAAAGTTTTCATCCAAATTCAATATGTCTTTCACAAGTCCTCTACAGTGGTCTTCCAATGTGATATCTTCCTGTCTCTTATAGAGGATGCTCTTTTTTCTCCTTTTCCCTGCGGCAATTTTGTAGAATTGATCATAATATTCTTGGCTTCGCAAAAATAATCTCTGCCTAAATTCGTACTTTGTCCTTTTTATGGTCTTTTTGTATAATGCCAAGTATTTTTTATAATTGACTTTCCGTGTTAATCTCAAGGACTCTGACAGACCCGAAACCTGACTGCTTTTCCTAAAGGCTCTAAGCTGACGTTTCAATTTCTGAAGAGTCGGAGTCCACCATGTAACATCATTGTCTTTTCTCCTGGTTTTCACAACTAGTCTTCTTGCCATCTCCCTCTGAATACGCAATTCCATATCAAAAATGATGTTATTCAACTCCTCAGCATCTTGACAGTTGTTAATATTATCCTCCAAATCCTGAAAAAATGGAAGTAAACCCTTTATGAACCTCCCAACTCTTCCTTTATGTCTAGAGTAGATAACACGACTTTTTGTCGATTCATAATTACTCTCCAAATTGACTGAAACATAGCGATGGTCACTCAAAGATTCACAGTCTAGAATCTCCATATTAATATTTTCCACGCTTAAGTCAGCTGAGCCCAGAACCAGGTCTGTCCAGTCTGTTCCAACAGGAGAAACGAAAGTAGGCGGTGAATAACTTTCATTAAAAAGAGTCAACTCCAACTGCAAAATAAATTCCGTAGTTAAAACATCCCGTTGATCAACAATAGAAGCCCCCCAATTAAAATGTTTTGAGTTAAAATCACTAAGAATTAAAAAACTATTTTTAAAATCTCTCAACAAGTTCTCCATTTGAATTAAGTGTTCACTGATATTTTCCGCAGGAGAAAAGTAGACCGAGATAATAGAGAACATTTTCCCTTGTTTGACACAGGTAATACAAGTAATAATGTCAGAAACATAATTAACATAGAAATTTATATTTGTATTGGTAATAATAATAGCAGACCTGCCGTTTTTGACGTTCACTGATCTCCATTCATTTTTCTGATATGCCAGGTTGTCCCCAATATAATAAGGCTCCTGCAAAGTCAGGATATCAGGCATGTATTGTATAATCTTTTCTAAATATGTAAGCTAGGCAGATGCAACAGCACAATGATTGAGGTTAATGTTTAAGATCTTCATAGTAAAATCAATATAATTTAAGATGATATAGATCAAAATAAAACAGTTTACAATAAAATTCATTAGCTAATATCCAAATCTCTATACACAGTTAAAACTCCAATTCAAAATTAAAATTTCTATATACAAATAAGAACAGCTATATACAAAATGTAGTTACTCGCAACCGGGAGGGAATCAGAGCATTCAATCTTTCTAGAAAAATCTTGAGCAGGAACAGTATTCAGACAAAATAAACAAAAATAAAAAATTACAATATTTAAGTCCCCAATATCAGCTAAGATTTGACGTAAGAACCAACCCGCCCTTCTCAGTCCGATCACCATACCCCTCGTAAAATCGTCTACCTGCTGGAAGTGCCTTCGTTGACGGTGGCCTGGCATTCTCCCCTATTACACGTATCCAACGGGACAAAAACCAACTTTCTTCGATAATTCGTCTGGCAGAAATAACGACACGAATATTGCCCATTCTGCACGTTCCTTCCCTTATATCTCACTTCACGTGCGTCGGAGAGCTGCGCATTTCACATCATTCGCATAACTCAGTGACGTGCGTCTACTGTAAAATTTGCATAAATTTCTGACTTCTCCTTCTTGGTATTGCATTTTCAATGCCGACCAGTGTACTTCGCGGGGAAACATAACAACCATCCCGCCAGGATGCTGGATATCTATAAAAACAAAAAGAAACGTGTAAGCAATTATTTAGACTAAAAAGGAGTATCAGCGATCGAGGCAAGGCTCTCCACTTATTTTTCCGCCTTTTCCGCCTATTGGACAGCCTTTCTCTCTGTTCCATCAGGAGCGTTCCAAGCTTTCAAGATTCCGCTGCCCATTTTCAGCTGTTTGATAAATGGTAAGTATATTTTTCGAGGTCCTTATAAAGTTATAAAGTTTAAAAGTTATTAAAGTTATAAAATTTATAAAGTTTAAAAGTTAAAAAACCTTAAGAATCTCACCAAAGCAACATCTAAACAAGACAGTAAATTAAAACCAGATAACTAAATTTAAGTTTTTAAGCAAGAAAAATTTAAAACCAAACCTCACTTCAAGGATAAAAAAATTAACACTAACAAACTTAAATTTAAAGTTAGCAATTACGGCTTATAAAAAGAATCAACTTACAACAATTATTTTAAAATGAAGAAATAAAATCAAATTAATAAAATTAAATTACTGACAAATCAAGAATTAAGAAATAGTGAATAACTGATAATTGAAATTAAGAAACAATATTATATAACATCACTATTCTACTACGTTTCAAATGCAAACAAATATGGCTGCTATGGTAAAAAAAATTAGGTTTAATATTTTTATAATTCTACAACTATTGTATGCAGATTAACTAAAGGCATAAAAACCTCAATCGGAAGATAAGATCAACATAATTCAATCATTTTAAAGCAAAAAATGCACGACTTAGCAACATATAAGAACAAACAAACAAAAAAAAAAAAAAAAAAAAAAAAAAAACTGAGCTCACGGAGCCGAGTAACAAAGTGGTTATATATGTATACTTTTGGTGTGGCCGATTGCAACCAAAAACGGAGGTGCACAACTACATGTTATAGCAGTCCAATATACAAAATTTCAACACTCTGAGGCTGCTCGTTTTTGAGTTATGCGAGGTACATACATACATACGTATGTACCCCTAACAGACGTCACGAAAATATCTCTTCTGAATCCATGTTTAAATCTTGTTTTTGCAAACCGTTTTGGGAAAACTAGTCCTTTATTCTGTCCTTTTGTGCAGATGTCATGCAAAAAAATCCTTAAATTGCATTCGATACCGGTCAAATGAATATTTCCATTGAAATATGGTATCAGAAAATTTTCGCGATTGCAATACTTCTTATACATTCCTGTGAGTAAATATTAGGTGTCGCCGAGCTTTGCTAATTGCTCCCACCCTAGTTCTGAGGAAGAGCCTTCCTGGAGGCGATCCGAGGGTCTCCCACCCTTCTTGCTCTACCGCGAACGTCTTGAGAAGACTGACCTCGCCGCCTATTTTGAGTGCTCTTTTGCCGCACGGATATCATACGCTTACGAATATCCATGTCTTCTTCGGGATCCAAACCTAGTTCCACTAGTACAGCAATTAGCCTGTTCTATGCAAGCCTCTTTCAAAAGACATTTAAACTCCTTTTTTAATGGATTATTCTTTCCAAAATTTCTAATAACTTTCGAAGTCTCTACACCAATAAAAATTAATGATGCGTATTTATCTTCAAGTTTACTATGCATGAAGACTATTTATCATACGATGACATGCTAAATACAGTTTAACTCGGTACATAACGATGATTACGTGTACATGCAATTAATCTGAGAGTTCCGGATTTAAGAATGTAAAAAATTCCGGAATTCTGGTTACATCCGTGCCAAAATCACCTCTCCCTCACATTGTATTTAGCTGCGGCTCATAACCAGTTTTGCTTTCGAAAGTAATTACTGGTTGCATTTCATATCATATTATTTGAATCCATGAGTCATGGCTAAAATTCATTACATCAAAAATAAAGATCCCAAATATTGTAATTTGAGAATTTTATTTCAAATTGCATGATATTCTTAAAGTATTTCATTAGAAAGAGTCATATTATTCCTGCATCAAAAATCTGCAAATCAGCTGCTCAGTTTGGAGAAGGGAAAACAATCCTTAGGTTTGGAAAATCATAGTGTATAAGTGGCATAGAAATATTTTTTTTAATTCTTGTTTTCTAACAACTCTTCGAAATAATTATGAATTTGCAAATACAAAGTATTTCTTAAGAAATTAAATTCCAAATTTCTCATGATGGTATTCTCATTCCATCGTCATGAAAGTTGGATACTTTGATGACCTTGCGGTATGTGAAAGAGTTCGAAGTAAAGTATATCGATGCAGCAATTCCAAGTTAAAACTGTGGAAAGAGAAACAGTATGAACCTAATACAAAAGAACATTACAGACAAAGGATCCGTACCCATACGAAAATAGCATTAACCCTTTGATGCATCATGTCCACTCTAGTAGACAAAAGTTTAAATTTGTTTATTCTTCTGTAAATGCCTTAACAGATTCCATTCCTGTGTTTATTCATTCTATATTATTAGAACTTTCAACTGTCGATCATAGCCATCTATGATCTGTATAGCATCACTAAGTAAAACATTGCTATTTGGAAAATGGCTGCTGCTTCTCTTTCCAAGTTAGTACAATTTCTCATAGTAAACATTACATAATATTGCTTACATTTTCTTAGCAAGGCAGGAAATGATTTCAAATGCAATGACCGTAAATCGTTGGGAAGAGATAAATGTACACCTTGCACAAAAAAAAGGGGGGACAGTTCATTATCTCCCGTTCTATTGGGCCGATTGACAAAATTAAAATTACGTTTTTCATGTCTCGAAAGCGTGACTTAGGATATATATTAGATTTATATATAGCACTATTCTAACATAGGTATTTTGACACAAAATCATGACAACAAATCTCTCTAAACTGCGTCATTTCAAAATTAATCCATGTTACATGATTCTTACATAACGCTAATGACACAGGCTCTTACATAAAGCCTTTAGACAATAATTATTTCTAATGATTTCAGATTTGGAAATCGAAATTTTTAACATCCGATGAGGAAATTGTAAACCCAAACTAAAATCATTTTGAACCCACCTTCATCTCAGGCATACTAGATTCGCTGCCTGTTAGCTGTATCACTGTTGCTGTTCCCCTTGCTTATCTCAGCGCTTTCAAAAATGTAAAAAGTTTTTCAAAAATAGGCGTCCTTACTGTGCCAAATTACGCGAGGCTACAAATATTACGAATAAAAGAAATTCTTACTCTGACTTGATGACTGCTACTACCTGTATGCAAAACAATTTTAATCATTACATTTTTTATAATTTACTGGAATCAAAACTGTGACGGGAAATCCAGTTAAAATAAAATATATATAAAGCAAGATTCTAATTTTAATTTGCAATAAGCCCTTAACTCTCCATTTTAATTTAGTTGTTTTCCCTTTCTGTCCTAAAATCAGTAACTGTTTATAATAAATCTCTCTAAATTGGGTTTTTGACGTTATTTAAGAATCATACGACATATAATCACAAAATATGCTTGCTATAATAATAACAAAAACTCAAAACAATTCGAGGCGTAAGTTATTTTATAGACAAAACGCTGATTCAGGAGAAAGTACATGATTTAAGTTCGCAAATTTATTGGCTACTTCCAATTAAGTCGCTAGCAATTTCGTTTCCCTTCACGCTCATACTCTTCCCCGCCCAGGCGCCGTAAATATGGTCGTGTTACGTCGCAACAGTTTACCTATGTAGATGGGACTTACGATGACCACCCCCCTCTGACCGTAACATGGAGGTAGGAAGTAAGCCATGGCCTTTCTTACCTCCATGGGCCGTAAGTGGTTGCCGTAGAGAGGAATACTTTTTCTTCATACCTAGTCACCTTCAGTGAAAACCAGAGCTCGTCATTGCCGTACATGCCAGTTTCTCGGAATAGAAAACTGAAAATTGCAATGCCCATTAAATTAAAGGAAATCGTTAAAAAAAATATATCTTAAAGGTTTTAGATTTTAAATTAGTCCATAAGGGCCTTTTTTTAACGTTTTGTGAGTTACCTTTATTTATTAAATATTATATTCTACGTACTCAAACTATAAAATTCAGTTTAACACCAATATTGCAAATAAATTTTAAAATGAGCATATCTTTAAAATTTCCGAGTCTCGCGCGCTGGAGATAAAAATGTTTTTTTTTTTTTTTTTTTTTTTTTTTTTCCCGTATAGTGTTGCGATTGCTCCCTTTGAAATCGTTTAGTTTTTTAATGAAAAATTCGTTGAAGTGTTACAAAATCTGAAATCAATAACAAAACAAATTTCAAATACAAATTAGAACTTCCACATGCCCATATTCCATGGAAGATTAAGTTATTCAAATTTTGATGGCTCTAGGTACCGTTGTTTTATCACAGTGCGAGAAACATACATACATTTATGCAAAGTTTTCGACGCAAAATGCCAAAACGAAATTAATAGTCCTTTAGGACAAATTGCCCCCTTGGATTGAAAAAAAAAAAAAAAAAATAGGTTTCTTGAAGGTTTCAATAAATGTAGCAGAAACGCATTATAGCAAAGAAGCTCGTTTTCAAGAAAAATGTGTTTCAGATCACCAACTGTTGATGATCTTAATACATACAGGAATATTTTTGTTTTTGTTAAAACAGGAATCTTATTCGTTAAAAAATAGTGTTGTAAAGTGGATGTACTAGATATGTAAGATGCACCGAAACTTTTTAAGTAAAAAATGGAGAAGTTTCATCTACTTTACCATTAAAGGCAGACTAAATAAATAATTTTCTATTATATATAAAACCCAAAATATAATTTGCTATCGTTATTGATAATCTATAATAATGCTTTAATAATTGGACAAGAAACTCATATTGAACTTCAGAAAATTATTAAAAAAATATTTTGCGTTGTATAATTCTATATGAATAAGGATTATTACCTGTCTGTAAGAGGAGTTATAACTAATCGTTCACAATTTCCTAAAAATTCAAATCCGTATTTAAACATAGCTTGTGCTTGTCTAATTAGACATTCGTCCTTCTCTTCTTCATAATAAAATCGTAGGTGAACTAACCATTCAAAAGCATTAACATCATTGCACACATATTTTAATAAGGAATCTATGACATCACACGCATGAGCCAAAAGTATTATGATATTCATTGCTTTCATCTGTATAAGTATTTGCTTCTCATTTTGCAGTTTCATAGCTGATTGATTCAAAATATCTCTCTGAAAAAGAAAATTATCTATGAATATGCAAATACTTATTTTCAAACATTTACAAAGTTATGGATTATAGTATAAAACAGGAATGGATCAGTCCCCATCCAATGTCAGTAAGAAAATTTTCAAAATAAAATAACACAGAAACCCCGATAATAGAGTCCAGGGAAACTCATGTATGTATTTCATTAATTTTCTAAGAATTCTTGTTTCTAATATCTTATAAACGTTTAACGGTTTCCATTTGATGTTAAAATGTGCACAACTACGTATATTATGGTTATTTTAGCACTCAGGGACCCAATGACAAAGATAACACCTCTCCGTGGCTGGAGGTATTGGCTGTACTTCTCAGGCGATGAAGGCGCATCAGGAGGACGACCAAACAAGAGATCACAAGGCAGACGAAGGTCACGACTGAAGAGCACCTGGGATGGGGAATAAATAGCCAATAATCTCGTGGACAGCAGTGCGATAAGCCACTAAAAACAGAGGTAATATCTTGTCACAATTCTGTTGGTTTTTGGAAACTACCAACGAGAGGTTATTAAATATGGTTCGATTAAACCTCTCTACCATGCCGTTTGACTGGGGATGTAAAGGTGTCGTTTGGGTTTTTCAAATGTCGAGTAGCTTGCAGAGTTCTTTAACTGCAGCCGAGGTAAAATTTCTTCCTTGATGGGAATGTAACTGAAGAGGCACTCAACCTGGAAATACAGTGCTATATCATTGCCTCTGCTACAGTGATAGCCTCTTGATCCGGAATAGTTTACGCTTCAGTCCACTAGGTGAAGTAATCAATGACAACTAGGATGTATTTGTTGCCATCAGCAGCTAGTAGCAGAGATCCTACGATGTCAAAGGCGATACGTTCAAAAGGTGTTCCTGCATTGTAAAGTTGCAGATTCCCTGGGCTTCGTTTCTTCGTTACTTTCCGACTTGCGCAGGTATCGCAAGACGGGGTATGTCACTTTTAAAAGAGGGTTAGATTTTCTTGGAAATTTGGAGGTAAATTATTTTCCTTTTTTTAATTCAGTTTAATTTAAGTGTTGGATTGGGTAGATATTAATTTGTAATTGATTTCAGCCAGTAGTGAATTTAGAAGCGTTTTGTAGTTTAGCGTTACCGAGGTTTTAAAAGTTCTTTCACGCGAGTCAGGAGCAGATTTTTTCCAGATTTTTTTCACCTTATTGCAAATTACAAAATGAAGAGAGAGCCAGAGGGAAATTTTCGCCGTAGCCTGGCACGGTCTTCGAATTCAGTTTTTTTAAAGCGAAAAAAGAATTTTTCTGTCGCGCTTTTTCATAGCCGACCCAGCCACGAATGGAAAGTCTCGTGAGAATAATTAAAGAGTGATTGATGTTAATAAACTTTCGGACATTCGTCAAAAAAACTCAGTTCATTATTCTTCCCTTCTCCGTGGTGCAGTGACTGAAGTTTGGTTCGTACGTCAAAAATTCAAGTTAATATGATAAAGTAAGCTCATATATACTATACATTAATAAATAAATGCACAGTAAAAACCAGTTCAAAACCTAGTTCAAATGCATGCTGATAGAATCAACAAATAATGATAATAACGCAAAATAAACTAAATTAAAACACTGAAATCCATTCCATATTCAATTCCGAACAAACTATATGTAATAATATATATACGAGAACCAGAGTGACTAGTTGTCTGAAAAGTGCAAAAACAGTTAAATAAAATGTAAAAACAGCAATTGAAAAAGTAAAAAGTAATTTACTTTCGTTGCGTCGTCATCAAGCCACAGATACAATGAAAGAAGAAAATACCTCAGCCTGTTTCTGAACCAATTATGACCCAAAACATAAATTAAATTAACCTTAGAAAATTTATTCATAGTAATTCGTGCCTATATCAGTCCAATCCCTACAGGCTGGAATAAGTAGTGCAAAAATTGAAATATTACAGCATTAAAACCATAAATAAGCTGTAGAGACATTAGGATATTTCGAAGCTGGAAGACGTGAAAAATGAGTAATGCCCTCGCCGGGACTCGAACCTCGGACCTCTCGAATATAGCTGACCACTACACCACGAAGGCCTGCTAAAAAGGCGGGAGAAATACTTTATATACTCCTCCCTTTTAAAGGATGACAGATGATTAGGAGCCCCGCCAAGTCCTGGTGATGGAGAATCATCATCCACACTTTTTTTTTTAGCTCGGGCGCCACTATAGGGACATTAGATATTTTTTTAAAGCAGGGGAGGTGAAAAAAGAGCAGTGCCCTCGCCGGGACTCGAAACACGGACCTTTCGAATACGCGCCGAGTTTGCTCACCACAACAACACGAAGTTATGCTAAGAAGACGAGAGAATCACCTTATATACCCCCTGGGGACTCGGTACCCCAAAATCAATGAAATTACCAATTTGTCAATTTTTTGCTGAAAAAGTACCTTAATACACTTACTACACTGAAGAGGAATTTGAAATGATATGACGATAATAAATGCTATAAAAAGGTTTTTAAAAATTTTGACACCCCTTTAAATGCCACATCACCTCAGTTTTTTTTTTTTTTTCAGTAACTTTATAAAGATCAGTGTAAATGTAAAGGAGTGTAATTAAATATGACTCCAACTAATAAAAAAACTCTATTTGAGTATATACTGATTTTATTTAAATACAAATTAAAGTTGGAAAAAAAAATTTCTCCTTTAAACTGGCAAGTTTATATATTTATACTGAGCTCAGCAAATAATTTTATGTGTATTATCAGTCAACAAAAATGCTATGCTTATTCAAAAGTTGAAATTATCTGTGATTAGATACGAACAGAAAGAGGTGGTGTAATGAAAGTGATCAAATTTCTGACCGTAGCATTATTGAAATAGTGCTGGAACAAACATTAAACTTTTTAATTAATTAAAATGCACATAAATAAATTTAAAATGCAATTTATATACGAGAACAAATGGCTAAAATAAGAGAAGAAATCACGTAAGCTGCTTAGTGGTTTTAAATAAAATGTTTTATGTCCGTTAAAATTTCAAATTTTGCTTTTTAAAAAATGAATAAAACGACAAATTAATATTATTAATAATGATTATAACCGTTTTAGAAAATATATTATAATTAATTCATGCATTAAAGTTGTTTTGAGCGTGTTTTAAAAAACAAAAACAGGTGAAGAAAAATTCTACTTGCATTTTATGATATTTTTGCAATATTTCTAGCCAGATAAGGTTTTAAACAAGAGCTTGTAATTTATATTCATATTAATCAATTTAGCAGTACTAAGTTTTATTATATATATAAATGTATTGAAATTCAGTAATAAAGTTTTTAAGAAATTGGAAATGATTTAATGACCGTCCAGACAGTTTACATTCTTTAAACTGCGATTTCTCGGTTTGCAATTTTTTAATATATCCTTTTACTTAAATTTCTAAATTTTGTTCAGATATGGACCAAATTATTTAATAATTTTACTGCTTATTTCAAATTGTATACTAAATAGAACCAGGGATGGGATTTGAAAAATAGTGAAAAGAAAAATTATTGGAAGTAAAACTGTTACTGAAATCATATTTTTTTAAAGCTTTTATATAAAAATGTGCTTTTTATTTTTTTTCTCAGAAACTAATACATTAATTGAAAAATCGATCCGTAAAGTTATTAAGAACACTATTATGAATACAATAAAAAAATTTGAAGCAAAAATATTGAAAATCGTGGGAGAAGAAAGAATTTTTAATTGTTGAATATTTTTTAAAAGAATTCAAATTAAACAAAAATTAATAGCAAAAAATTTTTTTTCAGCTTAAAACCATTTTGTCTCATAAAACCACTTAATATTATTCATAAAAAGTAGATGAAAGTGCTTAAACAAAAAAATCATTCAAAAGGTACCGAGTCCCCTTAAGAGGCGAGCGGGGATTAAGGGACCCAATCGCTAAACCCGACGGTGGAGAATCATCATTCACCACCTATTAGTTCGGGCGCACCAGTAGAGACATTAAGCTGGATGACGTGAAAAATGAGCAATGCCTTCGCTGGGACTCGAACCTCGGACCTCTCGAATGCGCGCCGAGTGTGCTGACTATTAAACCCCGAAGGCATGCTAAGAAGGCGGGAAAAATACCTTAGAAAGCTTAAAAATCTAAAAAATTTCAAGTTCATGAAATCATACGTAATTCAGCACATGATAGAGTAAAACATGAAAAACTGATGCTAAAAAACATAGCAAAAAGAAGAATTAGTTTTCAAAACTATAACTGTCGAGCAGCAATTGTTTTGAATTCGAAAATAAATTAAATTAATACGATATAACAAGTAGGCTAACACCGGGAGTAGTTAACCCTAACCTTTCATGAATTTAAGTCACTATACGTATACATTACTGCATATGGTTTGTTTAGAGTTAAATATGGGATGGATTTTGAATGCTTTAATTTGATTTACTTCGCTTTATATATGTATATATATATATGTGTGTGTGAATATATAAAGAAAAAGCGGAGAAAGAAAAATTTCACATACCCATTTTTTACGTAAATTTTTCAAGGCAGTTGTTACAGCTGTTTCTTGAACAATTTTTATGCTTGCTGTTACTTCTGCAGTCCAGGCAACAAGCAGAGAAAGTGAGCAAATCTGGCCGGGCCAATTGTTCAACCATTTTAAATGTGCAAAGTTAATATCTTCTTTCTGAAGAACAGCTAACAAGATATGAAGACAGTTTGGTAAAAGGGTAGATAGGGTCAAATGCATCATTCTTTCTACATCTAACAACCATGATTCCTCTGGACCATCCAAATGTATAGGCTCAATGAATTTGACATATTCATGACATTTCGAATACATACCTACAGCAGCAATAATCATCTCCTGTTCATGCTGAAATTTTTAATTAAAGTTTATTATTTTTAATTAAATAATAAATACTGCCATTTTAATAGATGATATTAAGAAATCAATATGAAAAATTGCAAACAAATATTTAGCCATTTATACAAAGAAAATAAACTGAAATGCGAAAATATTAAATACAGCTCTCTACCCTAAGTTGCTACTTTGTGAAAATGAATGACATTGGATAATGAATGCATGACGTAATAGCTTGGAGAAGCCTTGAACAGTCTTGCTTCAGTGTAGATTTCCCAGGTACAGGCAGAGTCGTTCTAACGCCTAGACACTTTAAAAGGTACCCCACGGGCAGGGACCCCATGTTAATTCATTTTCATTCCATTTCCATTTCATGTCTGTAAGTAATTGTCGTAAAGGTCACACTCGTTTTTTCAGCGGCCCATAATATTATTATTAATGAATTTGACATAGTCAAAACATTTGGAATACATACTTACAGGAAGAATATCGTCTTCTGTTCATGCAGAAGATAAAAGTAAGTTTTTAATTAAAGTTTACTATCAAGAAGAATTAAATAATAAATACTGGTCTTACTGGTCTTTTACTCGATCATATTAAGAAATCAATATGAAAAATTCCAAATGAATACACTGAATACAGACTGTATGCATAAATTATCACAATTCATTTCACGCAGATCAAAAGTGCCAAAATGATGAGGTGGCAGCAATAACAGTATGACGGACTAAAGTAGCAAGAAGCAATTTCGAGCAAATATCAGTGGCATATGCAAATGATAGGCATATAAAGTTGGTGAAGGTGTGGTACCACCAGTACTTCAGAAGGATGGCAGTTACTGTTAACCGGAGAACAGGGGCTCCATTACCTAGCTGACATGATGTCTGCCTTACACGGATTAAAGCCCCTGCTTCCAGAAGCTATTTATTATGACTAAGCAGAATAAGTTTACAGTGGCATACAAGGCCTTCAAGAACACAAGAACATAAGTAACATAGTCATAATAGACCCTAAAGAAAGCATGTTACAAGTAGTACCTATAGCATTCAAACAATAACCGAGTATACTTTCATAATTTGTACTGAAAATACGAAAATACTTTCAAAACTGAGTCCAACTAATTTTAAATAAAAACTATGGTACAAACAAAATATAATACATCCCTTACTGCATTATACACAATTAATATCAATTAGATTCACAATTTCAAGAAGAACCATTCAATTTAGAAAAAAAAATGCATAAAGATAAACTAAGACAATAATAAACTGCCAAATAAAATTTTTTCATTCTGAATATGAATTCAGAATTAAGAACCAATAACTTTGATAACTGAACAATATTATCATAAAATACACTGAACCTGAGATATTATTACAATGCAAAACATAAATTTGGTTTAAAAACAAAACCACTCCAAGTAATAAAACTCTACATCAGGTTTGCTGGCAACGCGATACAATACAGTACAAGAATAATGCCAACATAAATATATGAAAAATTCCGATTCCAAAAACCACATACCTTCAAAAATAAATCAAATTCAAAATAAGTCAAAGAAAATTATTATAAATACTGCCTTAAATGCACATTTTACAATAGAGAACTAAAGTAAAACCAATCAAATTCACAAAAAGGTCAACTATTCAATTCAAAGTGCAAAAAGATATACAAAATAATTATTCTAGATTAGGTTTGCTGGCATCGCTAAGACAAATGCAATACTAGAAAAATGCCGACACAAATTTTACAGAATTTCAAAATCAAATACAAATGCATTCAAGATTAAACTAAAGAAATTATATAAAATAACTATCATGAATGCAAATTTTTTATAATAGAATGCACAATTAATGCCTATCAAATTCACCAAAGTGAATCAATTCAATTACAAAGAACGCATTAAAATATTCAAATAATAAAATTGTCACAAAAATTTTTCTGTTAATTAATTAACATTACAAACTGACAAATAATCATGATTTATATAGATTAAGACGATTTCAGTACCATGCAACAATACTATGTGCATCACAATAAACCGACTATTTGTACATATAGAAAGTAATGCTACAAGTAACCGTTACAATTTATAAGAATAGTGCATTCAATGTCAATACGTCTTTTCTACTAAAACCACTTCTAATTAAATCAGTAACATAATAGTGGAAACAACAACTGAACAATAATAACATCAAACACACAAAGTTAAACTTACCATTATACATAAAAATCTACAGTCGCTGAAGTCAATTACTCACTCCCAATAGAATGATCTGAGAGAATATTACAGAAAAAATTAATTCCTGACAGAAAGCTAATTCCCCTTAATTTCCTTACTCTCACTAGAGTTTTTTAATATCATTTCAGCCCATTTTGGCCTGGTTGACTAACGGTTTATTCAATTGCGTTTTTTAGTAAATGGACAGGAAAGATAAGTGTTCAGGGTCTCCCATTCCCGCAGAACAAAGCTCAGTCGTACGTAGTCCAAATCGAAAGAGATATGTATTAAAAGGTCCATGACCAGGAAAAATTGAGTATCAAAATTCGATGTGCTTCTTTGACTGAGTGAAACTTTTGGAAAGAAAGAGGACTCGTCTTCCTGTGAGTCATAGTCCTCTTTCCTGCCATTTCACAAGCAGTGCATTTGAAGTCTTGCTTTTCAAGTGTAAAAAAGGCAATTTTGTTGGATTTTCAATTCAGTTGATATCATTAGTGGCCAATTTAGTTATGGTATCTGCTTCTTCGTTGCCCAGAATACCAACATGACCTGACAGCCAGGTAAGAAGTGGTCTTTCAGTTGAATTAAATCTTAGCAAATTTTCTTGAATAACTTGTACAATCGGATTTCTATTCGTAATGTCTAAGATAGCCTGCAAGATTAGATAATGAATCACTCGAAGATCTTAGGTCTTTGCCCGATAGAATTTCTTTTAATGTAAGTGAGAGCTTACATTACAGCAGCCTTTATCGCGCTAAATAGTTCTGCCTGAAAAACAGTATTTCTGTCATCAAGCCTTCGAGTCGTCCATGTATATACCTTTTTGAAGTATTGTTTAAATTACACAAAAAGCACAACCTGTTCCGCGTTTCAGTTTTAGAAACCATCTGTAAATAGAGCAATGTAATTGGCTACTGGAGCCGTATAGTATAAATTGACTGCAGATTTGAGTTTAAAAGGGCAGATGCCAAGATTAGATGGAACCGTAGTTTCATAATCAGGATGGCAGTTACTCAAGAAGGATATATTACAAATTATATCCAACTTTAACGCTGATAACACTCAAGCAATCAGTCAATATACTATACAGCAGTGGCCTCAAACTCAAATTTCATACAGACCGGATGAACAATCCAAAAACCGGCCACAACTGTTTTCTTAACAAAACGCTTTTTAACAAAATAAAAATATTTTATTAAACTCAATTTTAAATTTTAGTTAATAAATATTTATTAAAATACACTGAAGTGACAAAAGTCATGGGATACCTCCTAATATTTTGTCGGTTCTCCTTTTGCCCGGCGAAGTGCAGCAACTCGACGTGGCATGGACTCAACAAGTCGTTGGAAGTCCCCTGCAGGAATATTGAGCCATGCTGCCTCTATAGACGTCCATAATTGTGAAAGTGTTGACGGTGCAGGTTTTGGGCACGAACTGACCTCTCGATGATGTCCCATAAATGTTCGATGGGATTCATGTCGGGCGATCTAGGTGGCCAGATCATTCGCTGGAATTGTCCAGAATGTTCTTCTAACCAATGGGGAACAATTGTGGCCCGGTGACATGGCGCATTGTCATCCATAAAAATCCCATCGCTGTTTGAGTACGTGAAGTCCATGAATGGCTGTAAGTGATCTCCAAGTAGCTGAAGGTATCTATTTCCAGTCAACGATCGGTTCAGTTGCACCAAAGGACCGAGTCCATGCCATGTAAAAACAGCCCAGACCATTATGGAACCACCACCAGCTTGATGGGTGTGGGGTCTGCGCCACACTCGAACCCTACCATCAGCTCTTACCAACTGAAATCGTGACTCATCTGACCAAGCCATGGTTTTCCATTCGTTTAGGGACCAACGGATATGTTCACGAACCCACGAGAGTCGCTGCAGGCGATGTCGTGCTGTCAGTAAAGGCACTCGAGTCGGTCTTCTGCTGGCATAGCCCAAGGAAGACAAATTTCGCCGCACTGTCCTATCGGACACGTCCCTCGTACGTTCCACATTGATTTCTGCGGTTATTTGACGCAGTGTTGCTTGTCTGTGAACATTGACAACTCTACGCAGACGTCGCTGGTCTCGGTCGTTAAGTGCAGGTGGTCGGCCACTGCGCTGTCCATGGTGGGATGTTATGCCTGAAATTAGATACTCTCGGCACACTCTTGACACTGTGGATCTCGGAATTTTGAATTCCCTAACGATATCCGAAATGGAATGACCCATGCGTCTAGCTCCAACTACCATTCCGCGTTCAAAGTATGTTAATTCTCGTCGTGCGGCCATAATCACGTCAAAGCCTCTTCACATGAATAACTTGAACACAAATGAAAGCCCTGCCAAAGCACTTCACATTTATACATTTTCTACGCGATGCCATCTGTATACTTGCATATTGCTATCCCATGACTTTTTGTCACTTCAGTGTATATAGTAATGTGCGCGAGAGCAGAACTTGTGTGAACTGTTGCTTCACTGAATTTATTTGCATTTATTTTCTTCAATAATTTACAAAAAATGCTTCACTGGATTTATTTGCATTTATTTTCTTCAGTAATTTAAAAAATGCTTCACTGGATTAATTTGCTTCAGTATTAAAAAACAATCATTGGATATCGACCGTTAGCGAGCTGCCGTTGCTCGTCAGCACTCTAAGTAGGCTACAGTTCTCTGACGACCGGATATGCTGAGACGATCTAGCAGGAGTTCCTTCTTCTTACTGAGACATAACACGACCTCCAGTACAAAAACAAAAATAAAATCTGAAAACTTTCAGATTTCATATTACGCCCAAACGGGAATTTTTTTCATTTACAGGCACATACATGTTTCGAGAGCATTTCGGCTAACACCACATTGGGTTAAAAATATTTAAAAACAGCATATCTTTAAAATTTTGATAGACAGTCTCGCGCGCTTGCGATAAAAGTGTTTTATTCCCTACAATGTTGCCACTGCTTGCTTTGAAATTGTTGAGTTTTTTAATGACAAATTCGTTAAAGTTTTACAATATATGAAATACTCAGTAAAACAAACTCCAAATTCGGGCTTCCAGGTGCCCATGCTTGCGTGGAGGACTATGTTATTCAAAATTCGATGAATGTAGGTACCTTTGGTTTTTCACAATGCGAGAAATATACATACATTTATGTAGATTCTTCATTATTTACTTTGTTTAAATACAGAGAAATGATATTTTGTGGCAACAATCTGAAAAGCGATACAGCCGTTTATAAGCGATAAGCAACGGAGGACGTGGGCACTGTCCCTTTAGCAAAAGGTTAATCGGGTATAGCACCACGTCCACCTATATCTAGAGCCTAAAGAGGAATCACAAGACGCCACGCAAGCCGTTTATAGCAGTTCGACGCAAAATGTCGTTTCGAAACTAATAGCTCTTCTGGGCTAACGCCCATTTGGACTAAAACAAAATTGCTATTGTGAGCCAGGTTTCAGAAACTGTAACTTTCCCCCGTCAATTTGTCTTTTATATTTTTTCAAGTGCTTCTTTATGATTCGTTTCATAACGGCGACGTCAATTATGTTCTCTGGAACTGATATACCCTTACTACAAATAAAAGGTAACATTTTATAGCGAGGAACATCATAAAAGTATACAATTTTCCCATTTGTTTTGAAAAAGGTCCTTTTTCGTCCGCTTTTCTTCTTTCCTTTCTTAAAAATATGGCCTGCAGTTTAATCCCTTAAACTGATCAACCTTAAGAAAAAACAGCGATTTTTCTTTTTATTTAACAGCGATATGATTCAACAAGACGTATTTTCATATAAAAACAGCACTCAGAATTTTTGCGCAGCATTAAAAGATAAAGATTTGATATAATGTAGATCTAACAACCAGCACAAATAAATAGGTTTCTTTAAGCCGTACGTTTTTACCGCCGTGAGGAGTTCTTCCGCCCCACTTACAGATTTAGGCGTACAATATATGTCACTTGGCATAGAAGCGTACAGTGACAAAGACCCAACCTTTTAATTCTATCTCTTTTTTCTTCAATAACAGTAGAGCAGATAAGTTTAGTCCATATCCTCTACGTGTCAAAGAGTATAAGCATTGTATTTGCAACAAATGCATAATCGAAACGCATTCACCAACCACGTAAATTTGCTTCGGAAGCCGAATCCAGCCCGTGCGCCACCAGTTTGAGACAACTGCTATACAGCATTTGCTGCATCTTATGGGATATGGCAATCACTGACCAATATAGGTACCAGTGCTGGTAGCACTGTGTGGTCTACTTGAAAAAAGATCCTTATATTTATCCTGCGTTTTTTTCCCGTTTTGAGACAATGAAAGCATTTGTGTATGAAAGATATAGCACAAAACACAAGACTTTCAAGTCAAAAAAGAAACACTGTAAAAAATAAAAAGCTCTGATTATGAAAAGCACATAAAGGTAATTTTCCTAAAATGCAGAAGACTTGGATGATTTTTAAAGGAAATTGGCTCGTATTTACATTACGCATGGGGGAAACTATAAAAACTCGAATACACACAGCCCATTTATCGAGATCTGAACTCCACACGAGCTACCAGCATTCAGCATTTCTACGGCTCAGACACTAGAGAGTCTATAAATAATGGAAAATACCATCAGAAATGATAAAACTAAGTTCTTAATCACTAAGACAGCACATGCTATTACTATTGTTACGCCATACATTTTCCTTTTTCTATAGACAGTTTTATCTTATACTGACAATCTATGATAGTAATTTTTCCACTGCTCCGCAATATACAAACTTTTTTTTTAGTTAATCCATCCCATTGGAGAATTAATTGGGAGTTGTTGTTACGTATAGCTAGTATTACGTAGTTAGCTAGTATTACGTAGTTAGCTAGTTTAATGTATAATACAAATATAACTACCATATTTCTTCAGTTCCCAAGACGAACCTCTTAAGTTCAATATCAGTAATGAAACTTATTCCAAGAAAATTAAATAAATAAAATGGCATTTAATATGCCCGAAAAATATTTTTATAATACAAAATTCAGTTTACTAACTGCAATAGCACCTATCATCTAAGTATACTATTCATCACTTTCTTCAGAAACAAAATGAAAATCTGATTGTTTTGCGACACCCATTACCTGAATTTAATCATTATCAGATTACAGCATACTTATAGTCTGATTCTTGTGATCATCATTATCTGTTGCATATCTCGCAAGCAACCAGTGCATACTATTTTGTAAGCAATGCATTTTTTTAATGAACACGACCAGAACATGTACAGAATACCACAAAACATTCATTAGATACACATGCAAAGCACAGGAAAATCCAGCTGAGAATTTTTTAAATGTTTATATAAAGAAAAATGCATCTTAAAGAAATATGGTAATACTTAATTTTTTAAATTAATAAAAAATTTAACATAATACTTGTATAATACATGCCATTATTTTTTCCATTTTCTGAACAATCTCAAGTTTGTCTAAGTTATCGAACAACTTTTTTAAATGTCTCTGAACTTCCAGGGGACTATCTTGTCCAATGATTGATAATAAATCATCATTTGAGAGAAAATAGAGGCGTGGAAATGTACGTCGTTTGGACTCTAGGTAAGCTTCTAGACATTTCTCAACTTCTTCAGCTTTCCCATTCATGTCATAGAGTACTTCGAAGAAACCTATAAATGAAATTTAAGCAAACGAACGGTACATATTTGTCCCCTTTCTATAAAACATATATTTTTTTTTTCTATTTGCTCCCTTTCTAGCATTAAACGATACTACTGTATGGGCCTGAAAATAAAACAACACTGCATTTTTAAAGGTTTTTATACAAACATGGCACTGCATATTTGAAGATATTTTAAAAGTAAAACCAGGTTAGATACTGATCAAGCTTACACTGTAAGGATTATGTTAATTTTATTAACAGTTAAATTTTAAGTTCCTTTCCTGTCCACTTCTTAACTTCAACTTACTACTTCCGGCCAGAGCGTAGTTTTGGAATCACTCTGAATACTTAATGAGGAGGAGCGGTATTTAAAGCGCGAAGTCTATTTGCTGAGTGAGAGAGAATCAGAGTTTCTGATCTGCGCGCGTCTACCTTTTGGATACTCTCTCGCAAAGCTGTTATTACGCTCAGCCGTACTCAGGCCCTTGATAAGCTTCGTAGTCAAATAGAGTTAAGTGGCCAACTCGATTAGAATTTTGATAGCTTCGGCTATATCTCCTTAGTTAATCTTTGTTTTAGTTTATTTCTCAGTCTCTTAAGTTCAAGCCCAAGTGTCGGCTTTTATTGTACACTCCAAGACGGAGTTTGTTAAAACTTAATTGGAATAATAAAGTGTTAGTTACCCTTCCATCTTGTTTTTTCTTGTTACACGAACTTAAGCGATTATTCGCTAACTAGTTCTTAAGCTTCGTCACTTTCTACAGTAACTGAGAAATACACTAGTGAGGATCTTACATTTGGGGCTCGAAAAGTTTTCAACGGACCATGTCGTTAAAATCCGGAAGATTTACGTTGACTCCTCCCACCCTTCAGGTCCCTCAGACGTCCACGAATCCAATGGAAGGATTCGGGTTTATTTTGGAGGTGATGCGGGCCTCTAGAAAACCAGCAGTAACATTTGACGGCAAGGGCTCAGTTCTGACATTCCTGGAGCAACTAGACCTACATTTCACTTCGCATCCTGTGAACCAGCTGCAAAAGGTGACCATCGCTACTACAGCCTAAAAGGTCAAGCCCTCAGCTGGTATAACAGCATTGGAAAGTTCTCGTTGGGGGACTCAGGATCGAAATTGTACAGGTGGGAAAATTTCATGTCGGCATTATTGAAAGCATTTCCAGTCGTTAAAGGTCGTGCGAGGCTTGAATCAGAATTGTTTAGTAAATATCAAAGCAATTTCGATCAGTTGACGGAATTTATTCTACGAAAAATACAAATTGTACAGCTGGGAAAATTTCAAGTCGGCATTATTGAAAGCATTTCCAGTCGTTACATATCGTGCGAAGCTTGAATTAGAATTGTTTAGCAAATATCAAAGCAATTTCGATGAGTTGACGGAATTTATTCTACGAAAAATACAAATTTTTAATTTATTATACGGGAAAAGGCCCAATAATGAACTTATTGAAGTAATTCTACCCTGTACTACCGTCAGCTCAAGACTTCCGCGAATTCCGTAACCCGCAAACGCTAGATCTATTTCAGCTGGCGGTGAAGTTCCAAAGCCGGAGGAACTCAGAGAAAGCACGTGCGAACCAGTTTGGCTAACACTCAAGATTTACTCCTTAAAAGAAACAGCAAGTTCAGTATAATGCGTATCGGCAGATGGGAAAAAAGAAAAGTTCAATAACAGGAGCGCAGATAAAGCAAAGGGGGGCGGAAAGAAAAATCAGCGTAAAGAGGCGGCGGGTAACAGAATTTAAACGCAAACTGGTGATCGAAAAGGGGCAACGGTCACCGAGTGGGAAGGAAGACCCATCAAAATTCATTTAAATACAGTGGTGGTACAAAATCTAGCTATACCAGAGGTACAGATTCTGGTAAATAATGTACTAACCACTGCACTCCTGGACACAGGGGCTCAATGTTCATTCCTCTCAGAAGATTTTTACAAGAAGCATTTTCGTCGTTACAGACTGTTTAATGCCACGGGACAAAAAGTAATTGCCGCCCAAGGCAAGAAAAACCGCACTGTATGTTCAAATTAAAAATGAGGTGTTAATCAAAAGTTAATTTTCTAGTTGTGAAAAATTTACTCACGTCGATCATATTGGGGGTCGATTTTTTACGCGCATCCGGCGCAAATCTTAATTTCCAGAATTCTACGTTTCAGGTGCACATGGATCCAGTGGAAGACGATGAATTTTCCATGCCGGAAATGGGCTTAGACCACTTGAAGCGTGCAGGAAAAGAGAAGATTGAAAATTTGGTAAGAATATTTAATTCTTTGTTCAGTGATAAAGCTGGCTTTTGCCAAGTAGTTAACCATTCTATTAATACAGGCAATGCCCCTCCAGTGCGGTCAAAGCCCTATAGATATGATAAGGTGAAAGAAGCAATTATCGAAAAACATATTGAAAAGATGCTAGAAATTAAAATTACTGTGCCAAGCACCAGTCCTTACGATAGTCCGGTGATCCTTTGTAGAAAGAATGGGCTACCGCCTAAACACCCGGACCCGTAGTTTAGGACCGTTAGGTTTGCAGTTGATTATCGTAAACTTAACAGTATAACAAAATATCCCACGTATCCCCTACCAATAATTGACGAAATAATTAGAAAAATTCGTTTGACTAAGTTTATGACAACCCCTAGACCTAACGTCGGGTTATTTTCAAATCGCCGTAAAACCGGAAGATGTTGGAAAGACCGCATTTATAACAAAATCAGGCGTCTATGCCTTTTTAAGAATGCCATTTGGTTTTTTAAGCGGATCGCTGGCTACTTTTCAAAAAGTAATGGACATATAGTCTTGAGGCCAGTTTTAGGTAAAAGTACAATTATTTATCTTGATGACATAATAGTTACCAGTAAAACATTAGAGAACATTTGAAACATTTGGAAGAAGTTTTTGCCTTACTTAACGAGGCCGGTTTCAAAATACATGCAAGATAGTGCAAGTTCACAGCAAAGGAATTCCGATACCTTGGGTACAAAATTTCTAATAAGGGCACAGAGACTGATGACTCAAAAATAAAAGCAATTAAAAGTTATCCTTCCCCAAATATGGCTAAAAATTGTCTTCATTTTTGGGCTTATGTTCCTATTATAGAATGTTTATAAAGGATTTTGCGAAAATAGTTGAGCCTCTTCTAAAGCTAAAACGAAAGAAAAGCAGATTTTCTTTAACAGCCGAGGCGAGTACCGCTTTTGAACAGCTGAAGAATGCCCTAATTGATGCCCAGTCCTTAAATTCCTAGAAGGCAAACAAGGTCTAGAGATTGCAGCGGATGCATCCGATTATGCGGTTGGAGCGGTGCTTTCCCAAAATGAGCAACCTATAGCCTTCTTTTCGAAAACTTTGAATTCTACCGAGAGGAACTATTCCGCCACAGAGCGAGAAACGCTCGCTGTCTTATCAGCGGTTCAGACGTTTCGTGTCTACTTCGGGAAGTTCACCGATAACAGTCTACTCAGATCATGCGGCAGTGGGTCGCTTGTATTCAGGAAAAAATTGATCGCCTCGCCTGATACGATGGACTTTAAAATTACAAGAATTGAATTTAATTATAAAACACACGCCCGGAAAAGAAAATGTAGTTGCCGATGGCCTTTCACTAATAAAAATTGATGAAGAGGGAAATACAATTAAGTGTACTATGTTCACCTCAAGAGTTATTGAGTCTCGTGATACAATAGTTGAAGAATTGAGAAAGGACCCAGAATTTAAAGATATTTATGCATACCTGGAAGACCTTGAAAAGTTTTAGAAGAATTACATGATCTACCGTCCGCTGGTCATTTCGGAATTCGAAAAACAGAGGTTACGCGAAGGGGTTTATTTTCCGCAGTTACAAAGAATAGTTACGGCGTATATTAAGTCGTGGCATTTGTCCCAGTTAATAAATGATGTTAATTACAGCCCGGTCGGGTATTTAAAAAAACATAAAGACCACTTTCCCAAATGAAATAGTTGGCATAGATTTGCTTGGACCCTACCCTAGGACAAAAATAAATAAAAATAGATATTTATTAACAATTGTTGACCATTTTTCAAAATGGGTAGAAATAGTCATTCTTAAACGAGCTTCAGCTAAAAGCGTTTTTAGCAGATTCGTTTTTAAATAAATATATTTTAAAATACGGGGGCCCCACTAAAATTAATATCAGGTAACGGAAAACAGTTTGTTAGCAGTATATTTAAAAATCTGTGCACAGGATTTTGGCATACGCCATCTAAAAATGGTACCATACAGACCGCAATCGAATATAGCGGAACGCGTAAATAAGAATATTGTAAAAATTATCATTGGATATGTGAAAAATTTTCATGACCGTTGGGATAGCTGTGTCAATGAGTTAGGTTTTGCCTTGAAAACAGCAAAGCATGATACTACGCAGAAGACCCCCGCGGAGTTATTTTTAGGAAGAAAAATCATAACGCCTTTGGATAAGCTGTTCATTGTACAGCAGAAACAAGAATTCAAGTTAAAGGACATTCAGAGAATTATAGATGAAGCAATTCATAATTCGGATCTAGCAAGAAAAAAACAAAAATTATACTACGATAGAAATAGAAGGCAGCTGGAGTATAAATTAGGAAAGAAAGTTTTAAAATTAAAACATTCTTTATCTTCTGCACCCGAAAACAGAGTTGCGAAGTTTGAGCCCAGGTTTGAAGGATCTTACATGGTCGAAAGAATAAGGGAAACCACGTTTTATTTAAAGGCCAAAAATGGCCAACAAGTGGTTGCAAATATCGATCAGTTAAAACCTTATTACAGCCGCATTGACTTTAAAATGTTGCAGGATTTATTACAGAATCCTAGAAGCCCGCCAGTTCAAAAGCACAGCTGGGGTTCCCCAACCTAAAAAAGGAAGCAGATCGAGCAATCTTCGACCAGGCGGATCCAATCAGGGAATGCTACAGGCGCACGAAAACGGAGGAGGTTAGCACCGACGGATCAATGAGCCAGAATCGAGGATTCTGCGAAAACACCAGTACCACC